TTAAAAAAATAGGATACCCCGTATTTCCTTTCTTTTTTTTTTTTTGTATTGTTTGTAAAGTGTAATTATGATTTATGATTGTTAATTGAAAGAAATAAAAAATAAGATAAAAGAAAATAAAATTTTGCGGCATTTAATTTATTTCGATTCGCTTCAGAGCTACTTCTAAAATAAGTAATAACAAAAAAAGGAATAACACAAAGCCTATAGAGGTTAACCAGAGAGCTGGGAGGGAGAGGCAGTCAGAGCAGCTCTTAACCAATTAAAATGCCTTATACATGTTAATATATTCAGTTTCACATCCATCTCCCTTCCACCAAAAAAATGTAGTTTTGATCATAGTTACGTGGGAACTTTATAGTCGCACAAATAGTACTTATTAATAGGGGACTTAGTCCATTCTCCTCCATTAATTCCATTAATTGTTTTGAGTAACACATGATGAAAGCTAACTATTAAGCATATATTGTCCATGGACTGATAAAGCTTATTGTCAGGCTTCACTTGTTTTTCGGGGCTTTACTTTACATATATGAATATATAATTTCCCGCGTCTTATCATTACATATACACATATTTGATTTTTTCAAATTTATTCAAACTTTTCATCGATTATATGGGCTGAGATGGGCTTAACCGGTTAAGGTTATGGAAAAGATATTAAAGTAGATTACTTTTTAAAATGTGCTGATATAGTCAACAGTTAACGGATGGCCAATTTTTAATTATTCAAATTCCTTCTGTTCTTGCCTGGCCATCTTTGTTGATTGCATAATTCCTTAGCTTGATCACTCAAATTGACGATTTTTGCTATAGCTAATAAAAATATCGGCTCGCAACTGATACAGGTTAAGCTTTACACAAGCTTGATGACAAATTTTTTTTTGATGATTTAACATAAGACTCTCTCAACACAAACATCTTCGACTTCAAGCATCACTTGTTTTGCCAACATACAAAATGCAAAATATTCAATTGCTTTACAAGAATTCTACAAGAATTAAACATTCTTACCTAAGGTGCCATTGGAAGAAAATTTTTTACACAAATAAAAAAACCAACGGCCTTTTCTTGTGAGTTATTCCAGCAAAAACTAGTTTTGATGATTTTTTAAAAAATGCCATGATATTGAACGAACATTTGTCATTTATTTACTGAAACTTTGAGTTGCACGTTGCATTCTGCACGTTGCATTCTGCACGTTGCATTCAAAATACATTTTTCGAAGCGAATTAAAAAAGGTCATTCATTCATCAAACTCAAACCCAAATCTTCGTGTTTTTGGGAATGCCACCTAATGTAAAGTTTGCTTCGACTCGAAGATTAATATATTCAGATCTATAGATTAGCTGCAAACAGACAAGTTCTCATGAACTGCCATGAACATATGCATATATATTCCTTATTGCTTTTGAATCATCACCCGGGGAAAAAGGGGGGRAAATTGATTATGTTACCTTGAAATGACTGAGAAAGGCTTGGTTTTCCCCACTTACTACTCTTCTACCAGTGGCGCAGGAAAGCAACTGAGCACTAGGAATGTTCGAGATACTTTTATAGCGGCTAGCTTCAATAGGTGTCTTTCATGCATTGATACGCATTATTGCGTTTTTAGGGGATGGGCATATTGAATAATTAGTAAGCTTAGGTATGAAGACTTAAAATATATAATATAACCCAGCCAGCATGTACGAAACTCTGCTGAAAATACTTCAAGTTAATTGGAATTTTAAAATGATTTTGTAATACTTCAGTTGACGCAAATCAGAAAATCTTCATGTAGGATATCCATCGTTGATACGCATTCTTTCCTTCTTCATTACATAAACTTTAAGATTTTGAATTAATTAGATAGACTAAGATAAACAGTTAAAGTTCATCAAACCGTCAACGATTACTGATGGCCAATTAGTTTAATGATCCAAAAGACCTTCGGTTCTTGCCTGATCATCTTCACTGAAATTGACGATTTTGTTCTGATTGATAAAAATTTAGGATTGCAAATGATACCGGGTTGAGCTTCACAATTTTGATAATTATTTTTTTTGGTGATTTCAGCCTAAAAACCCAACACGAACATCTTCAGGCATCACTTATTTTATCAACATACAAAATGCGAAAGAATTAATTGCTTTACAAGAATTAAACATTCTTACCTAAAGGTGCCATTGGAAGAATATTTTTTTGGCAAAATTAAAAAAATCAACGGCCTTTTTATTTGTAAGTTTTTAGTTTTGATTATTTTATAAATGCCATGATATTGCCTGAACATTTGCCACGCATTACTGAGACTTTGAGTTGCACGTTGCATTCAAAGCACATTCATTTGAAGCGAATTTCAAAAAGTCCTTCAGTCATCAAAGTCATCAAACTATTGTTCGTGTTTTTCGGAGTGAAACATAATGTATAGTTTGCTGCGAGTCGAATATCAATATATTTAGATAAATACCATTATCATTAGCTCAAACAAAAAATGTAGAAAATCTCCAAGAATATATATATATATTCATTATTGCCTATGAATTGTCATTCGGACAAGATAAATAATGTGTTACCTTGAAATGCGTCGAGACCGAGAAGTGTTTGGTTTTCCTCGCTTGCGTCTCTTCTAGCGTCTGTTCTATTGTTTTATTCGCGCAGGTAAGCAATTGAGCACTAGGAATGTTCGAGATACTCTTAAAGCACTCACATATTTATAGCTTTCATGCTTTGATACGCATTGTTGCGTTTTTCTGGGAGGATGGATTTATCGAATAAACTTAGGAATGAATATTCAAAGTAAAAGACTTTAAGAAATATATATAGCCCAGCATGTACGAAACTCCGCTGAAATTCCTTCAAGATTAGAAGTTTTAAAATGATTTTGTAATATACTGTAATACATATAAATCAGAAAATCGTTCATGCTGAATCTCCATCATTGACACGCATTCTTTTCTTCTTCATATCGAAAATCTAATGATTTTGAATCAATTAGTAAGGCTGTCAAGTAAACAGCTAACATGTTTATCAAAGCTTGAAAAAAAAATACGTCGGTCACGATAGTAAGTTTTAATTTAGCATGTTAGTAAGAACTACACCATTCCAATTCAACAAACGTATGATAAATCAACTGGGCAAATTGAAAAGGGTATATCTGACAAATGTATTGCCTTAATTGTTAGGAAAAAATTACCATTCTTTATAAATTATAGAGAATAAGATATGTTTCGAACCTTGAACCAATCTCTCAGGCAATCTAAAGGCCCGTTCACACGGGCAATTTTTTGCGGCGTTTTTCAGCGCGATTTCCACTCCGATTCTTGCAGAAAATATCGCCGAAACGTTCCAAATAGTGGCGATTCATCGGCGGCATGAATTTATCAAATCGCCCATGTAATATCCTCTATGTCATCGAGATGAACGGACAGGTACTCTAAGAATGTACACGGGACACCTTGCAAATGACAATTTTTTTAAACATTTTTTAATGGCCCCAAAATTTGACACTCATTGCAATAATATCAAAATCCAAATTTAAGCAAAAGGTTACAAGAGTGTCTTACTTCTTACTTGCAGCAATAGAGGCTTTGCACCATCACGTGATGGCAGCCATGACAGGAGGCACAACATAGAGTCTTTCCCCAGGGAAACTAAATTCTTTCCCATGTAAATCAGGTTAGTCCAGATTCAATCGTTCCTGTCTCCTGTCATTGCTGCCATCACGAAATGGTGCAAAGACTATGTAATCAAATAATCGTCTAATGCATTTAAATTATTCAGTGCATACAGATTTATCACACGGAAAACTGCTGGGCCTTTAGCTGCCCTTTCCTTTATTAATGAAATTATTTTATTATTATTATTATTATTATTATTATTATTATTATAAATACATGCACGTCTTTACCTTAGGTGTAATGTTTTCCACGTCAGACCACGTGTCATTCTCTTGAGAATAAGATTATTTGTTTGAGTTTTATCCATATTCATGTGTCTTCTATGCGCAACCGTTAACCAAAGAATCGAATGACACATGGTCTGAAATGGGAAAACACAACGCACAAGGTAAAGAGGTCTACTTACTAACAAAACAAAGTCATCCATGCTCTAAATCAAGAGACAGCGCCAGGAATATTTGCACTCTTTTAACAAAATGCCTGTTCAACTTTTCTCCTTTTTTTTTTCTTGGAGGGGGGTTCGTGGTTGGGACGTTGGCTCAACATTTTTTTGAGGGAGGGGGGTATTTTCTCTAAGATATGTTGATAGTTTAAAATGATGTTCCCTCACTTAATCAAATAAGGCGGATAAAAAAACATATGGAAGTGCGTACTAAGGTATGCTGTATATAATTATTCTTCCTCATATGTAGATTGGAGCATAGTTACTCTCCGTGCCCCACCATTCAACTACTATGCAGCCTGGGGTAGAGTGCAATGCTTAATTTATGGCCTGATAATTACATAAGGCGGGTACGATATGTCTTTTGTGTTGGTATAACTTTGTCTTCCTTGTGGATCGGGGCACTTAAAGCAAGATGTAGAGTACGCGCCCCACCATTCAACTGCTATACAGCCTGCATTTCCAATGCACAGTTGCTTACACTGTTCCTTTGTTCTTCGTGACTGCAAAAGTTTTCTTCCTTTGCCACAAATATAAGGTGTATATTCTTTCCAAATGCCTGAAGCTAATGAGAACAAAATAAAAACAATGACATTGGAAGGGCTTAAAAAATGCCATTATCGAAGGCACCCACCCACCCAGTTGACGATGGTTTTTATCATGCCATATATTAGTTCGCTTAGCCTCTAATTCTTAGGGACTCCCTCATATCCACCCTAGTGTTTTAAATATTTTAAACATCTCAATGACTTGGTGCCTGATTAATTATCCACTAGCAGAATCTAATTAGATAATTTAATATGTAAGGATGCCAAAAAAACTACGAAATTTCAAAAATCTTCCACTTATAGTGGGGCTAAAACCACTGAGGCACACCATAGTATGGTCTGTAAATCAAATAGTCTACAGAGCTTGGCTGCATGATTTTGAAAGCGCGGTAGCTGAGGACACTGGATAACGATACTAACATTTTGGGCCTTTATTGTATCTTATTGTAACTTAGTGCAAAAAACAACTCTTTATCGATAATGAGCACATACCAAGGCTACAATTACGACCCTCTCCGACATATCCACTGTTGCACACGCATCTGTATGATCCAGCGGTGTTTTCACACCTTGCGTTGCTGTGGCAACCAGGAGATCCAAGGCACTCATTAATGTCTATAGTGAAAGAAAATATGATTTACTGGTCTGGATATAATGCGAAATGACTTATTGGTATCGTAATACTGTTGTAAGCTTCAATATGTTGAATTTGACATACCAGAGCACGCACGACCATCACCAGAATACCCAGTATTACAAAGACATCTGTAGGAGCCAGCGGTGTTTTCACATCGTGCGTTGCTATGKCAACCAGGGGATCCAAGACACTCGTTCACATCTGCAAATTATTTATTTCTCTTATTTAAACATTGGCTTTCTAGTTTCAAAGAATGGTTGCAAAGCAAGCAACCCATTTTTTTCAAGATGATTAGTATCATTAATGGCATGCTCCAATGAAGATCTTGAGGAGTGGATTGCATAAACATTTTATTGGCAAAAGTAATAAAAGTAATAAAAAGTTCAAGATGGAACATACCAGAGCACGTACGACCATCACCAGAATACCCAGTATTACAAACACATCTGTAGGAGCCAGCGGTGTTTTCACATCGTGCGTTGCTGTGGCAACCAGGAGATCCAAGGCACTCGTTCACATCTGCAAAATATAAATTTCTCGTATTCAAACACTGGCCTTATAGATTCAAAAAAAATGTGTCAAACGGAAAACGAAGATAAATAGATTTTGAGGGGGCCTGAACAGTACCAGTAGTGGTGCTAAGGGTCGATTTACAGAAACATTTATCCAAAGTATCGTTTGAGTATACATATATAGGGGATTGTTTTTCTATACACTGAAGGACGACACCGAAATTTATTTAGCTAATTGATAAAAGCAACACGTTGGATGAAAATTGAATTTATTATAAATATAAAATTAATAAACATAAATATAAAAGTTGGCAAGAATAAATAGAAACGGAAAGGAAAGAAGAGAGGAAAAATGAAGTTTATCATAACTGCAGCTTTTCAATTATTGATAATTCGCCAAAAATGTTTCGCATTAAAAATCCTGGTGCTTTTCTATGTTTTCTGTTTTTACCCTTCTTATTAATGGTCTTTTTTGTCTTCTTCGAGAAAAACTATATTGCCGAAAAGCTTGCTTACCATTGTGGCACTTTTTCCGCTTTTAAGTTTATCATTACTGTAGCTTTTCAATTATTGATAATTCTCCAAAATGGTTTCGCATCAAAAATCCTGGTGCTTTTCTATGTTTTCTGTTTTTACCTTTCTTATTAATGGTCTTTTTTGTCTTCTTCGAGAAAAATATATTGCCGAAAAGCTTGCTTACCATTTTGGCACTTTTCCCCGGTGTATCCTGGTGTACACTGACAGCGATAATCTCTTCTGTTGTGTTCAACCCTACATGTGCCTCCATGCAGACACGGCTCTTTTTCACACGTCGGGTTCTACCATAAAAAAGTACCAATGGATAATCAATATCTCCTGATTGTTAAGTAATTTCTTTACTCAGGCCCCGTCCACACGTATCCGGAAATTTTGGTATCCGCAAATTATTTTTTGCGGATACGAAAATGTTTGCGTCCACACGCAGCGTATTCGAATCGTTTTCACCGTCCACACGTATCCGTTTTCGTAAAATTTGCGGATACGGATACAAAAATTTGCGGGCACGCGTGGACGCAACCCGTATCCGCAAAAAAAAATTTGCGGATACAAAAATTTCCGGATACGTGTGGACGGGACCTCAGACATTCAGTCGAAGAATTCTCAAAATTTCACCCATAAATCCAGGTGATTTAGGATTCTTGCAACTGATTAAAAGCACAATTCAATTCAGCACCTGCATGACGCGGATCTTTTTCATTTTTTCCTTGAAGATGTTATTATTGTCAATGATTTTTTAAAAATAAGAATGAATKAATTAATTTTATTTATCCAAGGTAAACGACTCAGTTACATCTCAGTTACATCAGTTACTGCTTTTCAGGCGTGCCGTGCTAGAATTTAAGCGATAAATACAAATAAAAAATATATAACTATCTATATATACACCTACTTGCAACAACGTTGTCATACGAAAATAGAACATTAGTGATTTAGTGGGATAGGAATTATATTAAAAAACAAAAGAAGATCACTGAAGCTGAACTTTTTCTTTTGTCTTTTAATGTATTCCTTCCTCACTAAATTACTGATCAATGTTCTAATATCATATGACAACGTTCTTGCAAGTAGGTGTATATAATAATATATGATACCTACCTATCTATCTACCTATGCTAATAATGTATCCTAATTATAAGAAGTAGGTCATATATCATTTAAAGCCTTTGTTTACCTTACTCAATTCAAATATATGCGTTATATGAATGAATGAAAAATCTAAAATCTATTTAGCTTTCGCTGTTGTATCACAGCGTTAGACAATCACAACAGAGCTAGTCTCCAACTAGGTGAAAGCCCAAAGATCGAAATGGAATAGACTCTTTTCGAGTTCCAAATTACCGCTGTGTTTCTTGATTACAGACTCATTTGCTCAGGCTAAGCCTCGAATCAGTGTCTAATTACTCGCAAATACCAACGGTAAAGTAAAGAATGCACAAGTTCAACAATACGAACACTTTGAAACTTGACGGACCTTGACTGGAACACGTGAATATTCTTCATAAAATCGAGGCTTAGCCTGAGCAAATGAGTCTGTAATCAAGAAACACAGCAGTAATTTGGAACTCGAAAAGGGTCTATTGAAAACCTTTAGGTATCAATGATTGGCCCATTGTTCGGTTGCAATTTTGAAGTGCCAATGGGACCGCTGTTATTTGCCACCCTCGTTAATTATAATAAAGTATTTATTATTATCTTGTAGGACAGGCTTAATTTCGACATCGATACCATTTTTTTTCTTCCTTCCTTCCTTCCTTCCTTCCTTCCTTCCTTCCTTCCTTCCTTCCTTCCTTCCTTCCTTCCTTCCTTCCTTCCTTCCTTCCTTTCTTTCTTTCTTTCTTTCTTTTTTTTTTTTTTTTTTTTTTTTTTCTTCTTTCTTTCTTTTGCCGGACTTTTTTTAGTTTGTTTATTTGTCATTTTCCCTTTTATTGTTGTTCTTGTCATTTTAAGCAGTGTTACTTTAAAAGTATTATTAATTTGTTTTCTACAAACAACAGCTAGGTAAAACTGCCGTGAAACAAACTTCACCAGAAAATAGGATTTGTCATATGATTTAATTAGGAATCATGTTTTGTGTGCTAAGAAGTGAAAAATCGGAGGAAAAAAAAAACGGTCCTAAAGTAGATAAAGAAATCATGCTCAATGACTCAAAGGTAGAAAAGATAAGCCCCCTTAACGCAGAATTCTTGACTGATAAAATTTAAACAAGCTTGCATGTCCTAGTGAGCAATGTAGTAAGAACATTTACTGAGTAAAGTAAACTTACTTCGATGCTTAAGTAAGCAAATTTGTCATCTTGTGTGAGTGACTGGTCATGCTTATCAATAGGCAACAGCACACAGTCATGGAGACCACTTCTTTCAGAGACAGTCTTGTAGTTTATCGAACGACACCAAGTAAAGCCAACACAAGCAAACACACAATCCATTTGTTCTTGAACTTGGATTGCTTTACTTATTAGATTCTTTGAGTTGACAGAAAAAGCAAGCTTATGGCCAGCAAGTCTATCAAAGAATAACTCATCATTATAACGGTAATCATCGTGCATCGTACTCATGCAAGTCTGAACAATTTCAAACAGAAACAAAATGGATAGAAAAATAGAGCTCATGTTGCAGCACCGTTGTAGGAGGAGGATCGTTCCGAAAATGTTTGTTCCTGGCCTAGATTTTATTTATCTTAAGTACCGTAAAGTAATGCATTAATAATGACGTTTATATATAATAGCTTATTCGTTTGGTTTTCGTTGATTAGCTGAATGACGTTATGTAACGCCCCCATAAAAAAATTATTTTTTTGTTCGTACTGTGACTCGAGAAAGATTTGGCAAAGTTTCTTTGAAAAAAAATAAAATTGTCAAAGTTGTTGTTCTCTCCCTCGCCACGACAGACTTTTGCTTGTACAGTTGTATAAGAAAATGATAAAGAAAACAGTAAATGTCTGTACAAGATCGATTGCACATGTACAGTAACGCCCTCCTCAGCGGGAGCTCTCCATCAGCTGGTTGCATGCGCTTCGACTGACCGATGACAAGGGCTCGTGCAGGGAACACTTTCAAAAATATTGCTAAAAAAAAAAGTCTCCTGTTTGAACCATGCACCTTCTACTGAAGATCCGCGCTGAAGTGCATGGTCGGAATTAGCCGTTTAATTATTAAACCTGTTTATTATATAGATATCGATGAAATAGCAGGTTTTCTTGATCTAGTGTCGAAAACTTGATATCTTTCACCAGTGGAAGATACCATATCTTTCACACGTGAAGAATGTATTGCTGTTGAATCGGCTTGCTATTTTAATAAAGAATTTTTGAGCTTTTGTTTTATTTAAGTTTCATCGATATCTATATAATAAACAGAATATTACATGGCCGCTTGGAGATACRAATTTTTTCTTCTCGTGTTCAATTTAGATATCTCACTCGATCGCTGCGCTCACTCCTGAGATATCAATTGAACACTCGAAGATAAAATTCGTATCTCCGCGCGCCCATGTAATATCCTCTATATCTCCCTACCAAATTATCAAGCGGACAGATACGAGAATAAGAAATAAGTTTCGTTCCTGCCAAGATAGCCTCCTTCGCAGCCGTTCTTAGGGTACGTTTGTGGGGAGGGAAACGTTGCGTGACGACCCTAAGAACGGCTGCGAAGGAGCCTACTGCCAAGACTACAAGATAAAAGTTTCCATGCATCCCTGCCACTGATGTATCATTGCTGTAGATGACTGTAGATGAACATATGAACCTTGTATTTTGCGTTAGGTTATGTTTAATTTAGTCAGAATAAAAGACATTTCAGTGATAAATATTTAATAATGAATCCTTGTGACGGCATAGTACTACTTTAAAAAGTTATGCTAAAAGATTAAGAAATAAACGAACACGACGCTTTGACGCGGATTAATCAATATTAGAGTCGCGTTAACTGCAATATAAGAATTTAAAATAAATTCCTAAAGGTAGAGGATAAAAACATGATAAAGCGTAGTAAACTGGCACGTGCGTATATACTGAAGTGAATAATGACTTAGCACAAGCACAATCTGATTAAGTGTTTAAATTAGGTTGAGTTCTTTGATATAGAGCATTTCACCAATTTAACAGTCAAATTTCGATTTACATTTATCTAAATAATCGTTCAATGTTCGTAGATTAAGGTAGTCCACTTTCTTGGATCTTGCCATTTTTATAAGATGACATGTAAAATATTCTGGAATTTTTTTCACATGTACTTATAGTTTTTCTTTTTTTCATAATTCAATTGTTAAAATCGAGATTGTTTTTCCGATCGGTGGTGTTATTATTCTCCTTGATGCATTATATTTGGTAATCAGATCTGTACATATATTTATAAATTATAAGCCCAATTTATATAAATATTTTATATTACATATACTTGCATATCGTAATTCATACTAGTCAATGCGATATATATATATATAGAAAACTCATTAATAATTCATGAAGGAAACACAACAGAAATCATGACCATGAAGGAGGTTTTATATCTGATATAGATTCGTCTTCATTTGCATAAACTTTAACTTGGATTTTCTCTATCAAACTTGGTTCATTTCGTAAAGAATTCTGTACAATATGAGAACATATATCATGAGTTTTCTAAGCCGTTTAACAAACTCGCAGATCGTATTTTATCGGGTCTAAAACTACTCGGCTACGCCTCGTGTTTTATACCCGATAAAACACTCCTGCTCGTTTATTAAACATTACATAGACCGCGTTATATTGAAGATCATGTATGTCACTATCTAAGATCAGCTGGCCGTGATATATACGTTTACAGCCATTATCAATCACACGCGCCATCTAGCGATTTTTTCTAGCGAAGGTTTTGGTGGACGTCAATCACAAGGTGTTTCCATAACATTGTTGGAAAACACGATAGTCTAGTCAGCAGGGCCAAAGTCGATAAAACTTTTTATTTGCAGGTCCCAACTTCGAATGGAGAGAATGTAGGTTAGCAACAGGGATTTTCACCGCCAAACCGGTTTGCTTGACCGTATCCGATAGGGGAATAATGTTCAACAAGAAATTTCCAGCTGTAACACTGCAATCTAGTACTTTTCACACATCCCTAGGGGGTAGGCCTGTTTCCAACAACATGGATGTGGATGGACTACAGACCACATCCAAATCTGCCGTCATGAGCTTGAGAAATTAAAACATTTCTCCGATAAGTGCGTGCTTGTTCAGCGAAAGGCTGTAATTGTATTTTCACATCCTCCTGGGGATTTAGACCTTTGTCCAATGGCTGACAAGGGCCTGTATTCCACATCAAAATATGTCGTCATCCTGCACGATTTTTGTATCAATGTTTGAAATATGACTTAGTCTTGACCTGACTTTCTCAAGCCACTTTTGTGTCCCGGTCGGTAATTCTGTACCGACTTTCATCATTGCTTCTCATGCAGTTTGACTTTCCAATTGCCAGCTTTCGTTAATGTATTTTGATTTACTAATGTCCGTTGCATGAGAGTATTTTTTATTCATCAAAATTTACTATAATAAAAAATGGCATACATATTTCTTTGTAAAAAAAGTATTGTACGCTATCAGCCGGTGAATCTGAGAGAGTCTCATTTGGTGTCCATTATCCCGGCTTCCTTTTACAAAAGTAACYCTAGAAATTAAGGCTGTACGGTAGAGGTAGAGGCTAGACACTTTGCCGGGGCCACCTTACTTCTAATTTTTCGCGAATGTTGATCAACCCTCTTTCTAGATTAAAATGCTAGGGTCAATCACTATGTTTTATTTAAGAACGATGCTTTCCATTGTTTCGAACCATTCTCAGCAGTGCATCTCTTGTCAAAGACTACAGCATAGTGTCCCATGTGCCAAGCTCATCCCATATCACTTCCAATAGACTGCAAACGTCTGACGGTGTTGTCAAAGACTAC